CTGTGCAGGCACTGCCCAGATGATGTGTTCTGCTCACGTCACCCTCCTAACAGCCATCTGGAACTCCCCTCTCAGTGGAGAAACAAGCATGAAGCAGTTAAGAAACATCCCTACAGCAAGGCTGCACTGGGCAGGATCTGCACTTGGCTCAGCCACTCTGCGGTCCTGTCTCTGGGTGGTGAAGGGAAAGGAGCGGGGTCGGGGTGGGGGCTGCTGCTATCTGGGGGCAGCAGGGCTATATGGAGGAGCCTCATACTCCCTTGCTCCAACCCCAGAGCACTCCTGCCAAATGGCAACAAGGGGGTGCAGGTCAGCCTAGAAGCGGCTCCAGGTGCCTCCAGGCTTCAGCCAGCCTCCAACACCCAGCCCTGGCACTGGCCATCTGCCTCTCAGCACAGGTGGCCCAGGCCTGGGTACTGTTTCACACCAGCCTTGAGTACTCCAGCACCTCCCTCGCTGGACCCCATTTCCTGGTGTGTAAAATGATGGTAATAATCTCTTGCACATGGGGTGGTTGTAAAATAACGACCATCCAGTGCCCATCACGGTGCTGCCTGCACTGGGAGATGGTAGAATCCCCAGAGGCTGGGAGATTCTGAAGCAGTGGGACTCATATCCCCTTTCTAGGTAGAACCCCAAGAAGGCAGCCAGACCCCAGAAGAAACAGGGTGGCATGGGGTGTCTAAGCAGCACCCTAGAGCTCCCTGTGCTTGACCGCGAAGTGGAAGCTGTGGAATGATCACCACAGGCCCCAGAAAGGACCTCTGTCAGCCCCTTAGTACAGGGCAATGGAGGGAGCCCTGAGTGCCCAAAAGCAGAGAAGGAGCCAGACACACAGAGCCTCAGGATGGGCATCAAGGGAGCATGCAGGGGAAAGGCAGGAGGCAGGGCAAGATGATCAGAGGACCCAATGCTTACCAGGACCATGGCGAGCACTGCAGGCCCAACGGCAGCATCCAGGTCCAGGAGTTCTGCAAGAAGCAACCATAACAATGTGTGCCACTGGGTGGGCAGGGTGGGGAGGAGGGAAGAGAGCAGAGCACCAACAGAAAGGGGCAAAATCAAAATTAATACAGTTTAATTAAGTATCTACAAGACAAGACACTGTCAAGTCATAAACTGAACCCTTTAATGTGGAATGCAGGTAAATATTAATATGTATGATAGAGTGTAGGATTCAGCCTTTAAAATGCAAAGTGCTAGGGGCTCCCTAAGGTCTTCAAATGTGCCATCCCCAAAAGTTCTACGCATCCCTGGGGAAAAAAGGGGTCCCCAAATTGATTTGAGATTACACTTCTACCATGTGGGGAATGGGGGAGGAAAAGAGAAATTCAGGTCAGATATTTTAGAAATGAAGTTATGTTCCTCACTCATGTTCCTTTGTAAACGGAGCTCCTGAGTCACTGCAGCTGTCACCGCGCAGCACCATCTTCAGACCCTTCATCCCTCAGGGCTGGTGGGACTCACCGTACCCTCTCACCCTTCACATTTCAGCTGTTGGGTTCACCAGCCTCCTATTCTTTCACTGATCTAGAGGAGAAACCTGCCTCCCCTTCTTTTGGCCCAAATGAGTTCATCAATGTGACTCTAAGGAGTGATGGCAGGGAGTTGGATTCGAGTTCAGCTCCGCCAGAGATTCCCTGTGTGAATCCAGGCAGGTCCCATCTTCCCTCTGGCCAAGTCTTCTCTTCGCTGTGAAAAGGAATAAATGTTGCCTACCAGGGCTGCTGAACAGACCCAGGCCACAGCTATGTGAGCACTACTTCTTAAACAGACTGCGTTGCACTGGGGTTTGACTAACAAAACAAAACCAAAAGAAAAAAAAGAGTTTGTGTTCAACTATGTTGAAGAGAGCTGGGTTTCACAATCAGCCCTTCTGAGCTATGTCTGGGGGTGGTGAGGTTTGATTTTTCCCCATGGTCTTCCTGCCAGGGCTCACCGTCTCCTCTTGCCCCAGCCAATGGAGAGAGGAACCAGAGCCGAACTAGTGGAGAAGCAGGTTGGGGTGGGTGGGGGAGCTGAGCAGGCTTGGCTCCTGGAGGCCTGAGTCAGCGGGCAGGCAGGCAGGGCGGGCCGGGTCCTCACATGCTTCGGGAGGAGATGGTGCAGGAATGTTCCTCCCGCCCAGGCCCTGCCCACCGCATCCTGGCTCCAGCTCCCATGGCCACTGCAGCTTGGCTCTAGATTGAGATGGGAGCTGCCTTGAGCTCTGCTGGATCAGTTCAGCCAGGGGCCTTCCGAGGCAGCCTGGCCCAGAGGATTGGCCCAGGGGAGGGCAGGGCCAGGCCACAGAGTCTGCCCAGAGCCAGGCACTGGACCCAGAGTATCCCCTGCCCTGCTGGGTGATAAGGCCAGCCACCACTGCTCCCTGGGCCTCAGGTGCCCATCTGTGCAATAAAGAGCTGAACTTGGTGGTATCTAGTCATCCCAATTGCATCCCTAGACCTCTCTGCCTGTGTGCCTGCACGTGGTGCTTGTGACTGACTGTACTCCCGCTTGGAGACACCCCCTCCAGGGGTGGTGTCTCCATGCAAAGCTTTCCTGAATCTCTGACGAGGTGGGGGCCCTGGGAGGTCGTGCAGGTGCAGTCCAGGCACAGAGATGCTTGTGACATCTTTGCTCTGTGCAAGCATGGCTTTGTGGCAGTGTGTGCCTGAGTGTGTGTCACTGTGTGAGGCTACGACCATGTGCATGGGACTGTGGTGTGGCTGTGTGTGACAAAGTAGCCACTGGTGCTTTGAATGGATGGCAAGGCATGTGTGGATATGGCCGTGAATGTGTAACAGCATGTGGCAATATGACTGTGTGAGTACACAGGCATGCTTGTGTGGCCTATGTGCCTGTGGGCAGGTATGTGACTGCATGTGCTTGTTGTGAGACTGAGCGATTACGTGCGTGAGTCTGTGAGTGTGTAGACACGTGGAAGACATATGGCTTTGTCATCTGCGGGGGGGTGGTGCAGAGCAGGGGCCGATGGGGCCACCTGCCTCTCCCAGGCCTGGCTCTGCTCCAGCCAGTGGCGCAGTCATGGCCCAGTGCTTCATAGCCCTCCTGTGTCCAGCGGGTGACGAGATGCAGGATCCGAGGTCTGCCTCCATCCCCAGCCCCCACTTGTGGCCACAAAGCGGATTCCTTTTCCTGTACCGGGCCAAGACTGGTGACCAGGGGATCCCCTACCCTGGGCGCTGGTAGCTGCTCAGGGCAGAAAGAGAGGCCTTGTTTTCTGCCTCCTCAGAGCAAAGCGAGGGAGGAAACGAGCAGCTGGGTCCAGCTGAGTCGGGAACATCTGCCTGGCATGTGACGAGGCAGGCATCTGCCATCACCAGGATGCCCCCGACACTGGTCCCCCAATCTCTAAGAAAGGGGCTTAGCTCCCCCAGAACAGCCCCAAGTTCTCCCAATACCCCCACCCCCATAGAGGCAGAAAGAAAAGAGAGAGGAGGGCCAGGACAGTCTCCCTCCTCACCACACACACACCTGCCCCAGCCCAGAGACCTCAGGATACCAGGAGCAGGCCTGGCATTATCCCAAGACCCCACTTCCTGATGCTTCTCCTACATCCAAGTCCCTCCTGAGAAAAGTATCAGACTGACAGTTTCACCCTGAGGATGGGAGGCCTGGGAGGTGGTCCCCCCACAAGGAAGGCACACAGAGGACAACACTGTTCCCAGAGCAGGAAGCATGAGCAGGGGACTTTCCAGGCACCATGGGTTAGGAGGAGCATTCCCACCAGCCCTGCCCCGGCCTGGCCCAGCAGTCACTGCTGAGCCCCTCTGCAGACGGCTACATGGAGGGCAGAGCTGAGAAGAGGTTAAGGGCGGGAAGTTCCTCGGATGGGTTAGAAAATGGGGCAGGGTGGAGAGGGGAAAATTCCTCAGAAAGTCCCAAATCTGACCTAATGTTGACCAAGGGCCAGGGGGACTCATTCCAGAAGTTCCTCTGAGGACTCTATGCCCTGAACAGGGAGTTCTGCCCGCCCCTTCCCCCACCGCACCTGCTGGACCTTCCCCATCTTCCTGCACAAGCTCCCTGGTCCCTGGCCTAGCCAACCTTCCCTGACGGCCTTGACCCCGGAAGCCCTCTCTCCACCAAGTCCCCATTGTCTCCAAAGGAGAGCCAAGTCTCAACCAGTACCCTCCTCTCCTCTGTGGATGAATAGATCCAAGAGCAAGATCTGCTCATCCTGACCAGGGCACCCCCAAGGGCACAGCCAGCATCCTCTTCAGTTTCCAGTGTGGGAGCCTCTGCTCTGTTGGATACCCAGGACAGCTTGGGGAAGAGACACAGCTTCTGAGTCCCCCACTTCTCTCCTGTGGACTAGGGCTTTTCAAGGGCAAGGCCAGGGCATGGCTGCTTGGGGAGAGGAGCCACCATCTATTAAATTGTCCTGGGGCACAGCATCCTGTCCCTTCCTCATACAACCCTCAGCCCCAGATCACAAGGCAATACAGCCAGTCCCCTGGGCAGCACTCCACCCATTTTAGAGACAACAGTGCGTTCTAGAGAGGGATGGATCCACCCGGGGGTCCACAGCCACCTCTAGCTCCTCCTGCCTGCTGGCACCTTCCACCAGCACAGCCCTCCCCCCAACTTTTGAGGTCCTGTGGTAAATTTGTGCCCACCAGGACCTCAGAATCTCATCCAATGGCTCCCAGGAGCAATTAGGCCTCTATCCTTCTTCCGCCCTCCACCTTTCTGGGATCCAAACAGAAAAAGTCATGCTTGTGTTATCTTAATTGTAAAAGGTTTATCAAGAAAAAAGATTCAAGCAGCAGTATCCAGGAGGAGACCATGACCCCCCTGGGGGCAAGGAGGGCAGTGGTGACACAGGTCAGCACCCCACAACAAGCTGCTAGACCACACCCTGACCTGGGTGGGGAGGAGGCAGTAACTCCTTGGGGATGTAAACATAGGTCAGAGACAGCACAACCCAACCCAGAGCGGGGGCCTGCATTCCAGCGAGGCAGGCAGAGAGCGGGTGGGCAGGCAGGCAGGCCCCTGTCTTTTTCCTCTTAGGTTTCCCATTGTGCAACAGGAGGGATCTGGGGAAGACAGTGCCAAGGAGCCCAAGGACCCTGGGATCCTGGGTTTGGACCTGCTTCGAGTGTGGGGAGTTATTGCTGGTGAACTCAAATATACAGTCGCTTTCGAGAGTCTTCTCCAGGAAGGTGTCACCAGGGATCTGGGGCCCAGGGCTTATACCTCAGCACCTTGAACCCAAGGAGGGAAGGATGCTGCAATGGTCTCCTACCTGAGAGAAGCTGGGGGCCCAAAAGTGGAGGGTAGTCAGAGGCCTACAGGAGGGAGATGGCCTGTAGCCCCCTCCTGCAGGGGACAGGGTGATGCAAGGACAGTCAGCAACATGGGAGCAAGGGAGATCCCTTCCTACCACACAGGCCAGAATCCCCAAGGAAAGCGCACCTAACTTGCTTGGAAAGTAAGGGAGAGAAGAGGGAGATGTTTGCATGTCTCCATAACTTTGCCCATGCTGTTCCTCTCCCCTGAAAGTCCTTCTCCCCATGTACTGTCTGGCAGGCCCTTGTCATCCTTTAAAACACTGTCCGAATGTTGCCTACTCCATGGAGTCTTCCCTGACCAGTGGAATGCTGTGGCCCCTTCTATGAGCTTCCAGAAATCCCTCACTTAACCATCAGTCACACTGCATTGACTTTGTCTATGTCTAACCCCGACCTTCACTGAGGACTCCTGAAGAGCAGGCAAGTTACAGCCCTGGGTGCCCAGTGTCCGACCCAGGGGTGCAGCAGGCCTCGGTGTCTGCTGAATGGATAAGGCAGCAGTGGCCAGGTGAGCAAGCAAAATAGGCTCTAGGGGAGGCTGAGACCCTGGCCTGACCTTCACTGACTAACCGGCAGCCCAGGCCTTGGCCTCGAGGGCTCTTGGCTCCATTCTCACCCCTGCTGTGCCCCACTTCTAAGGAGTGGGGAATTTCCCAGGGGTACTCATGACTCCTTGAAAGCTCCTTCTCCCAGGAGGCAGGACAGGCCGCTTCTCTCCCCAACTGCTGACCCCTCCCCCAGCCACTGCTGGTATAGGGAGGTTGGGAAAGTGGGGTACACTGCAGTGACCAGGCCCGGGGGAAGAAGGGGGCCTAGGCACACGTGGTCAGAGGTTGTCATACATGCGCAGGGTCTTCTCCAGCTGCTGGCCCACCCGCTGGTAGAAGAGGATCTGCTGGCGCAGGTAGTTCTGCATCATGTGCTTGAAGTCGAGCTCACGGCGCTGGTGGAAGTGGTTCATCTCGGCCTGCAGGGCGAAACCCACCACGCGGCAGCGCCTGCGAATGCCATCTGCCTCGTCCTGCGCCATGCGGCCCTCGTCACTCATGCGTTGGCTCTCCTTCACTTTGGCGAAGGCGCCTGGCATAGGCAGAGCAGAGGACAGCGTGTTAGGGCTCTGATCTCCATGTGCTCCCTATACCCTTGAGGGCAGACAGCACCCTCATCAGTTCAACTCGGACCTCACTCCTGAGCCCCAGACCCACATTCCAGCCACCTGGGTGTCTCTGCCAGGACATTCCCCAGGTCCTCACCCTCAGTACCTCCTAAACCAAGCACATCATCTTCCCTCCAAATTTGCAGTGCCACCAGTAGCCCACACGTGACCAGTCACAGCCTTGCTTGATGGACTATGAGTTCAATGAGGATATAGCCTGTCCTCAACCTCTGTGTGTCCCTGGTACCCAGAACAAGGCCTGGCCCACAGCAGATCCTGATATAGGCCTGCTGAACTGATTCAACCCTGTCCATCACTGGACTGCCACAACAGTCCCCCCACGGCTCCCTGCCCTCTGCCCCAGCCTCTGACAGGTTCTCTGCAGCATCTGAAGAGGTCTTCCAAGCTGGGCACCTTTCCTGGCTCTCCACCACCAACAGATCAAGGTCCACACCAATCTGCCTGGCCTGGGGCGCCCTCACCTCTGGAGTTGGCCCCTGCATGCATTCCGCAGTGACCCCCGTGTTCATCAAAGTCACCTGGCTCTTTCCTACCTCTGCCCCCTGGATTCCTATTCATAATTCATGGTCCTGATCAGGTGCCACTTCTACACTGGAGCCTCTCCCAGTTCCCCTGACAAAATGCCTCCCCCATGTCACCTGTGCCCTGGCTCCCCACTCCCACCCCCATCACACTTATGATTCTAAAGCAACTCTTCAAAGGCCACCTGGTGTATCTCCCAGACATGCACGCCCTGTTCCCTCCTCATCCCAGCCCCCAGGGAACTAGAGGAGGTTGTGTAATAACCAGGTAACAGATGGGGGGTGGAGATGAACCTGAGCAGAGGACCCAATTTAGAAGAATCTGAATGAATGAACAAGCAGTTGGTGAATGAATTTCAGTTCTGAATTAAAAGGGACTTGACTAATTCTGCCTTTAAGCCAGTAGGGACAGTTGCTGGGAAGAGAAGGAAGTTTGCCTGTGCCTGGCACTCAGTCACCGAGGGCTACAGGGAATCCACCATGCAAAGAAGATTAGGAGGTGGGAAGGGTTGGCACAGCGAACAGCACACCCCTGAGCACTTCAAACGCACCCACTGCACACAGACAGCATGCTCAATATCCATGCTTTCCCACTTCTCCTTTAAGGAGGGCTCTTGAGGGCCGTCTAGATGGTATTCTCTTCACTCCCTGACTGAAATTGTCCAGTGCTTTCTAAATGCATTCATTGAGCACTTACTGTATATCAGGCCCAGGGCTCTACATGCTGGGAATAATTCTGGATGCCTTTAGAAGGGACAGCATCCATGTTAGTTGACAAGTGCATGGCTAATCGGCTAATAGTAGCATTTCAGGCAAACAGACTCAAGTTCAGAGAGTCTCCAGGGCTGCTCACACAGCACCCAAAAGAAATCTGCAGTCCCCAGCTCCCAGCCCACTCAGTCCTTCTGCCACCTTCCCTGGACCACCTCCTACACCATCTCAACAGCCCAGCCCTGGGCAGCAGAAGGGGGATCACCCCAAGGCCCAGGATAGGACCCAGAAAGAGACATCAGAGCTGAAAAGGCCCAAAAGGTCAGGTGTCCGACCCTCAATTCCACCTCCACCCTACTACTATACAGAGGAGGCCAAGGCCCTGAGGGACAGGAACTTGCCCAGAACTCCCAGCCTCTGTCCTGCCTGGTCCTCCACAGCTGGGGGTTGGACACCACTTCTGTTGCAGGGAGTACATGCTAGGTCCTTCGGGCATGTGTGTGGGGCCCCCAGACATTGGACACAGGGATTCAAGAAGGTCCCAAGGAGTAGGAAGAACCGTAACAAGAAAGGTAGAAAACAGCAGGGTGAAGAAACTGGAGTTAAACTTCCACAGAAGGAACCCAGCTAAACGGGAGATACTGAACTAGCCTGGATTCCACCTGCCTGAGAAAGTTGGCACAGTGGAAGTGCATCTGTAGACTTTTCCTGCCCATGGCCTTGAAGGAAGGAAAGGTCTCTTTTGCTAATGAGGAGCCCAAAGAGTAAGAATGAACCCATTGCAATGGTTAGGTATCAAAGACAGGCAGGAGGCCAGGGATGGGGAGCAAAGGCCACAGAGGTCGGGGGGAAACAGAGGCCCCACCCTACTCTCCGTTACCCCTCCACCCTGTGACTCAGCTCTGGGGCCAGGACCAGCTAATGCTAATGCACCCCACCCCACAGGCTGGGAGTCATGGCTCCGGCCTGTCCAGCATCCCCCCTACATTCTACTTAAGACTTAACCTGAGAGCTGAGGACCCAGGAGGACCTCCTGCCTCAGCACTCCTCTTACAGGCTGGGTCCCAGAAATGCAGAAAGGAGGGCTGGAGCCCACCAGCTGCAGAGTCCCAGGGATATTCCCTAAGCTCCCACCTCAATCCATCTTGCCGCTACCTCTTGGAGATAGCTAACATCCACCCCAGGTTGGGGGCAGGAGGGAGCAGGAGGTCTGAGTCTTAGTCCTAGCTGTGTCCTCTCCAGCATGCCACTGCTCTTGCCTGGGCTCCAGGTCTCCCCACTGCCCAGTGGGACAGGTTGCCCTAGATGTGATGTTGTTGACAACCTCTCATACGGTATAGTGCTTTAGAGTTTCCACATCTGTAAAATGGGATAATAATAGTACCCGCCCTATAGTATAGTTGAGGCTTAACTGAACTAATATGTACATAGTAGAAAGGATCGTATCTGAGATAGAATAGGAGCTCCAGATGCTACATGCTATAGCTTGAAAACTACTTTTCTTTTCTTTCTTTTTCTTTTTTTTTTTTTTTTTTTTTTGAGATGGAGTCTTGTTCTGTTGCCCATGCTAGAGTTCAGTGGCTTGATCTCGGCTCACTGCAACCTCCGCCTCCCAGGTTCAAGTGATTCTCCTGCCTCAGCCTCCCAAGTAGCTGGGATTACAGGTGCCCGCCACCATGCCTGGCTATTTTTTTATATTTTTAGTAGAGACAGGGTTTCACTATGTTAGCCAGGCTGGTCTCGAACTCCTGTGATCCGCCCACTTTGGCCTCCCAGAGTGCTGAGATTACAGGCATGAGCCACGGAGCCCAGTGCAAACTGCTTTTCTATCCATGAGCTCACAGCAAGTACCTTCAGGTGGTAGCTCACAGCAGAGTATTATTCTCTTTGTTTACGCCTAGGGGGGTGAGGTAGAGGGAGGGCTAGATAATGGCTTAGAACCCAGAGGCTGAACCCATCTGTCCCCAAAGCAAGAACTTGTCCCTACAATGGCCACTTTGCTTTGACCACGCTGTCCCTGTGGCCCCTCTATGGATGCTCTGTGGTCCTGGGCCTATCTCTAGCCCATGGGACCAGTGAAGGAGCACCCAAGCCTTCCTCCCTCCTCTTTCCCCTTCTGGCTCAGCTCTCCATCCCTGGGGATCCCCTCCCCTGTCTGGAGGGCACAGTAGAAACACAGTAGAAATCCTGGGCTGCGGAGTCAGACACATTGGGCGCCAGCTCCTGCTCTGAGGCTCATCTGCATTGCTGCACCTCGTCTGTAAAACGGAGGTGACCACATTGCCCTCCTGACCTGTCATGAGCCTTAGGACCAGCCCTGCTCTTGCTGGCTCTTAAGTTGGGGGGCCATAGGTCCCGGCTTGCCCCGGACAGTCCTGGACACTTTCCCCTTGTTGTCCTGGGATCACTATTGCTAGGGCCCCCTTTTATGCCCCAAACTGCCTATGGTTACCCTTCTCTTAGGAGACCCCTGGATTGGGCTACAGGGACTAGGCCCGTGGGAAGACCAGGCTCCTTTCAGCTCCAGCCAGGGTTTATGTCCCATTTTATTTCATTTTATTTTTATTTTTGAAAAGCATACAAATTTGTTTAATGTAAGTTTCACATGACATGGAGCCCTCCTAAGGAAATGAAGACCCTCAGGTCCCATTTTGTTCACTTAGAGACTGAGGGGAGAAATCTCTCCCAAAGTCATGTCAGATGCAAAGTTTGTCCAAATCCTGGTCTCCTGACTCCCACCTAGGCCTCCACTGTCCTTCCTCCCACACACTCACCACCCATTCAGATGTCCAGACAAGCTGAACAGAATCCTTGGGGCCCAGGACCCAACTGTTCTTCTCCTTTCTGTGAGAAGGGCTCCACCCCTAGGGCCAGCATAGGACCCCCTCCTTATCACCCCCATTGGGCTGTGGTCCCCAAAGCCTGTCCAGTTATGTCTCAGTACCAGCTCCCTAACTTGCCCCATACCACAGGCCTGGGAGGAGCAGTGCGGAGCCCAGAACTTAAGAGTAAGCCAGAGGGGGCTTAGCCCATTGGTAGGGTTCATCCCGGGAAGGGAAGGAGGTGGGCTGGCCTCTGCTTCAGGTCAAATGCATCAGCACAGAGGACAGTGGCCCCTGACTCTTAGAAACACCTCAAGTCGAAACTCAGAAATGGCCTCTCTCAGTTCGGTCTCTCTGCCCAGGGTCAGAAAGGCCAATCCGGCTTCCCCCTCAGCCTGGGAGGCCCTGGTGTCCTTCCTGGGTGTGGGGCTGCCCTAATGCCCTCACCTCTGTTCTGGGTGGGGGTCCCCAGCCACTACATGGGAGCATCTGTTTAATCATTGCGCTCCCCCTCCTGCTGCCTGCGCAGGAACAAGCCATCTAAGGAGCTGGTTGAACCAGCCTTCCCACTTCTGCTCAGGGAGACACCTGCCCCAGTGGGCCCCCAGCAGGCCTGGCCATCTCCCCTGCCCTATTCCTGCCCCAGAGCTCAGAGTCAGAGCTAAGGTGTCATTCTGCTTCTGAACCAGACCCTCCCCAAGAGTCCCTTCCCACCCACTCCCTCGAAGACCTGACCTTCCCTTGTTTTACAGACCAGGAAACTAAGACCCAGAGAGACAAAGGCACTCCCCAGGGATGCACAGCAATCTAGGGGCAGAGCCAAGACTAGCACTCAGGTTTGTGTTTCGTGGAGTTCAGAGGAGGAAGAAGAAAGGTAGAGATGAGAAAAAAGAAAAAAAAAAAACAGGAAGAGGAAGAGGATATAGTGAGGGGAGAAAGGAGGCTGGGAGCTAGAGAAGTTATAGAAGTCAACCTCTTGGTAAAGGAAAGTAAGGCCAGCTTACCCCAGGTCCTCCCTGGTGGTGGTGGGTGACATGTTTCCTGTTCCCCAGGCTCAGTCCAGAGGTCTGCCTCCTGGCCCCACCCAGAGTCAAACTCCCCACCAAGCCAGGCCTGACCTCAGGGCCCAAGGGCCAGGGAGCCAGCTCCACGCCCTGCATACGAGTTACCCAGCAGCCCCAGGGAGGATCACACCTCTCTCCTGACATCTGCCCTCCTAGCTGTCCCCAGGACTCAGGTACCTGCTGGGGCAGTCACTGGCTGTCTCCTCAGGCAAGAAGAGAAGCCAGGCTTGGGAAGCAGGAGTTGGATAGGCCATGTGGGCAGTGCCCTGGACCCCTGATTCCGCAGCCTGGTCCAGCCAGGGTGCCCCTGTGTGACCCAGGATGAGTCATTTCCCCGGCAGTTCCTTGACAGCCCCAGCAGTAACAGGCAGAGGCCCATCCTGTCCCTCCCCCACGGAGGGGGTCATGACAACTGAAAACACGGCTAGGCTTGGGAAGCGGCCAACATGGACGTGTCCTTGGGGAGGTGGCAGGAGGAAAGGACAGTCCCAGCCGGGCCACAGGCTGTGCAACCACTCTTCTGTGGACACTAACTCCTTCATCCGCAAAATGGGGACAGGGATCTTACTGCACACAGACAAGACGCTCATAGAGAGAATACACAGTGGTGAGAGTAACTTGCAAAGCTGCAAAGGTGGGGAGGTGAACTTGCAAGGGGCAGATGACAGGCCCCCACTCTGAGCTCTTGTTATCTGGGTTGGGTCTCTGTCTCCCAAGGGCCTACCGGCTCCTCCAGGGCAAGGCCTGGGGCCCGGTCATCTGTGTGTTCTCAGAACCCAGCATGACACCATGCATGATGGGTAAATGAGATCCAGAGAAAATGAATGGATTGACAAGAAGGTAAATATCAAGCTCCATGAGGACAGAGACCAGGCCTGTGCACAACAATATTCCTGTACCTAGAAGCACATTTGCACAGATACAGAGTTGATACTCAACATGTTTGTTTGTTTGTTTGTTTTAGAGACAGGGTCTCACTCTGTCACCCAGGCTGGAGTGAAGTGGCACAATCGGGCTCACTGTAGTCTCAACCTCCTGGGTCCAAGTGATTGATCTTCCTACTTCAACCTCCCAAAGTGCTGAGATTACAAGCATGAGCCACCATGCCCAGTCCAACACATTTGTTAAATGAATGATTGAGACAGAGAAATAAAGATAAGTTGCTCCATTCTATCCAGGCCATCCCCATCTCCCCAGGGCCCAGCAGAGAGTCAGACTCAGGATGGGTTTCCTGCCTGCACTGGGTCTTACCTTTCTGTAGGTGGATGATGTCAGGGAAGTTAGAGAGCAGGCCCTGGTAGAGAGACAGTGTGTCCAGCATCTGGAAGAGGTCATTCTTGGGCTGCTCAGCAAACATCTCCCCGATGGCTTCATAGGTACGGCCCGTGTGAGAAATGGCACTGTTGAGGGCCTCAGAGCAAAAAGGGGGGTCCATCTGGAAGGAATGACTGATGGCCTGGAAGGCACTGCCCAGCTTCTGGAATTCCTTGCGGAAGCCCCCCACGTGTTTACGCACCAGCTCTGACGCCACGGTGCTGAGCTGCAGGACACTGTCGTCCATCTTCTTACTGAAGGCCTTGAAAGTGTCCACGCGATCTTCCACGTCCTGCAGGTCCTGGTGCTCGGTGGGGATCTGGAAGGTGAGCAGGAAGCTGGCACCCACCATCTCATCCTTCTCCGCCCGGCGTTTGCCCATCTTCCACTGCTTGTCATCTAGGCAGCTAAGGAAATGCTGGAAGCCTTCGTACTGGGAGAGCACAGGGTGGCTGGTCATGTGGTCCATCCAGAGGATGAGTCTCCGCTTCCGCTTTTCAATGAAGTCCTCCTCGAAGCGGCCTGTGGCCTGCTTCTCAGGCAGGTGGGGCACTGAGATGACAGTGAACTTGTGTAGCAGGCGGTTATAGAGCCAGTCAAAGTGTTTGTAGCGCCGGTAGACAGGTGAGGCAGCATGGGTGGGTGTGAGCTTGTAGGAGATGTAGCTTTTGATGCCCTTGAACTTGGTCTGTTTTGTGGGGTCCTCCACAGAGCAGGCAAATGGGTGGGGGTTGGCCTTCCACTGGGGGCCACGAGGGCCCATTTCAATGGAGTATGTCTCAGCGATCTTGGCCATCATGGGCACATCACCCAGGATGAAGGCCTCCACTCCAGAACGCACAAAGCATGAGAAACGGTTGAGGTTACGGCCCACCACACTGCCTCGCTTGGCAGATGCCAGGCTGTCCTGCCGCTCCAGTGGTGGCTTGGGCCGGAAGGCCATGTGCTGGCTGGGGTAGGCACCAGGGTAGGAGAGGTTGAGGGGAGGGTGCCCATTGGTGCCCAGCCCACCAGCCCGTGGCTCCTCCACCACTGTGCATCCATCGTCCCAGTCATCCCAATCATCATCATCATCCTCCTCGAAGCTACCCTGGTTTGAGAGGAAGCCACTGCCCCCACCACTCCTAGCTGGGTTGGCCACACTGGGGCTATTGTACAAGCTCACGTGGGCCCCCGGAGAGCCTGCAGGGCTGCTGGAGTAGTCAGCATGGTTGGTGCTGATGCCAGAACGGACGATCTCCACGTAAGAGGCAGGAAAGAGCCCTGTCTCCCCACGGCTGTTCTGGCCCTGCAGCCAGCCATCCAGTGAGATCTCGCTGAAGATGACCAGGTCCTCATCCTGCTGGATGCTGATTTCCTCCTTGTTCTCACTGTGAAAGTCATAGAGGGCTCGGCCTTTCAGTGCCATGGTTGGGCTGGGTGGTACAGACAGATGGGAAGGAGAGGGTCCTGTCCAGACCCGGGATGCTCACAAGGAAGTCCAAGAATGCACTCGCAGCTGAATGGCGCTTACACAGTTCAATCTCTCAGGTCCTAAGGTGGGGTCTCAGCACCCACAGATGCTGTCCAATCTCCTGCTCTTCAAAGCAATGTCCACGGCCCAGAAACTGCCCTATCAGGTCTCCGGGCATATGCTTGTGAGCAGGGAGGGCTCATGTCCATAGCCTCCTCCCTTAGCAGCCCCTGGGGGATTAGAGGGGAGTCTCTCCTAACTCCTACTCCCAGAAGAAAAGTCAAGTGACCTGGAGAAATCTGCCCTGCGAGGGGAAAAATTCGACACTTTCCACTGGAACAACGTTCTAAAATAGAAGAGACTCACTCGGAAACCACCATTCCAGAAACCCAGGCAGGGCTCGGCTGTCCCTCTGGCTCCCAGATTCTTTTGGCCACTCTCGCTTTGGGAGGCTCTCACATTCCTCTGCAGATCTGCCCCTTCCTCCTTCCTCCTCCTCTTGCTCCTGGGCCACTGGGTTTTCAAATATCCGGAAAATCCAAGAGGGGCAAGGAGAAAAGCAGCAGCCGCCTGAATCGAGTCCAAGGGTGGATGTGTCCGGCTTCACAACGAGCCAGGCCGGGAAAACAAGGACTGAGGCTTACACAACAGGCCGCCAACTCTTCGACCCCGGCTGCGCAGCCGGAGCCCCCGCCGGCTCGGGCGCCCTCTCCCCGCCCCAGAAGTGGCCAGTCCCAACCCCGGAGGAAGGAGGGGGCGCGACGAGGCGGTCGGGCGACTTCTGGCCAGTCGCTGAGTGGTCTCTTTTGTTTGCCTAATTCCTCAGCAGTTTCTGAGACTGACGCTGACCCTGCTCTGAATCCCAGGAACCCCGTCCAAAGGTAACCCCAGCAGAAACCAGTTCCTCACCCGGGACTTACGACCCCCGACCCCCACCCTCGCGTGCACGCACACACTCAACAGTTTGGAGTTTGGAGAGTGAGCTCCGGCGAGCAGATGGCGCGGCTGGCCGTCTGTCCGTCCGTCCTCCGCTCCGCCCTGCGGGGCCCGGCCAGTGGGGGGCGGGCTGCGCCCCCAGCCTGCCTTCCCCTGCGCTCGCAGACCCTCCGCGCCGCCAGCGAGAAGGCAGCTCCAAAACAAAAACGCGATTCCGGGAGGTGGCGTCCCGAGGAAGGAGGGGATCGCCAAAGGGGAGGTGAGGGGTGGGGAGAGGGAGGAGGGAGGGGGAAGCAGGCTGGAGAATCGGGCAAACTCCGCTGCACTTCCGTGCGTCCCGGCGGGGCAGGGACGGCCAGCTCCGCCCTCCCGCGGGCCCGGGGCGCTGCAGCCGAGCCCCCGCCTACTCCTCCGCGCGGCTTCCCATCTGGCCAGTGCCCTCGCTCAGTCCCGGAGGCAAGAGGGAGGAAACGACCCGGGAACGAGGGAGCCCGAGAGCCTCCGGGGCTGGTCTCTGGGACCGCCACCTCCTCTGCTCTCCCTCCGTCTGTCTGCCCTCGCCGGGAGACACCTCACGCCCCCGTGGTTGGAGCGCCCGGCGGTGGAGCTTGCCAGCCACTGCTGCCTCGCTTCCTGGACTCCGTCATCCTCCTGCCTTTTCCGTGACGCAAATGGAGTAAAACTCCCAAAGTTTGCAAAGCGTGGGGCTGCAAGGAGCACCGCGCCAGAGCCAGGATGGGGAAATCGGGCCGGGCGGGGAGAGGTGCGTGAAAAGCCGTGCCAGCTGGGGTTGGGGAGCAGAGTCGCGGGCTCGCCTTCCCACCTTCCCATTCCCCACTCCTGCTCCGCAGGGACGGGGTCGTGGCGCAGCTCGGAGATTGTTTTCCGGAGGGGTAGAAACGGCCTGCGCGTTCCGGGCGTCTGACCTAAGATACCGACAGCTGAGGGTGCAGCACCCTAGCCAGATAGGGCGACCCTGCCCTGGGCGACTAGCTTGGAAGGAGGGAAAGACACTACCCTACATCTGCAGCGACAGGAACAAGTCTAGGTGCCACCCGGTTCCGTGTTGCTTAGTGCGGCAGCGGGACTGGATGTTCTGTACTAGCCAGGGGCAGCAAGGAGAGAGGTGGTCAGGTAGAGAGTCTTGAGGCAAGTGGGATCTGATCCTCGGTCAGCATATCGGGAACACTTTGGGCACTGAATCTGCTAGGCACTGTGCTGGGCACTGGGGAGTACACCACAAGTCAGTCGGGGTTCCTATCCTGGGGGGCTTACAGTCCATCCTCTCTTGTCTTTAATCAATCCATTCTCAGTCATTCATTCAGCCAAGTCATGCACTCAAGAAACATTAACTGAGTATCTACTCTGCACCAGGCCCCTGAGCTACAAAGACAATTAAGACATTATCCTTATTTTCCAAAAGCTCAGATGTGTTGTGACAAGTAGACAAATGCTCCCTGCCCAGTGTGACTAGTCAGTGCCATGAAAAGTGCACATGAGGATACCTACTCCAGCCTGGGTGGAGCAAGGATCAAGGAAACCTTCCTGAAGGAAGAGGTGCCTAAGATGAGGCAAAGGCTTCAGGAGGATCCCCTTTCCTGGCTGTACCCTGGAGTCTTGTCTACCCTGTCCAGCTAGATCTTCCCTTCATTCTCTCTCTAGTCACTTATTGCAGATTAACTGGTACAAGGTAGTTCTGCTAAAGATGGATACCTTTGGCTGTTTTGAGGGACATGGTTCCCAGACCTCTGGCCCCAAAACCCAGTTTCACTGGTTGAGTGAGTGCATCCGACTAGCTTTGCAGGTCTGGCATTTGACCAGAATAAAGGCCTGTGTACAAACCCCAGAAGGCTAGGTATTAATTTGCACAGCGAAATAAAACTGTCAAGCAGAACTGAATTTCTGCATCAATAGATCAAGGCAGTTTGGGCTACCCCTTGGGAAGCCCAGTTACCAGAAAGTTAGCTCAGTGAGTCCGGAACCTCCAAGAGGGGAAAAGGTATGACGAGTCTCTTAGTCAAGTAACCTTAAAACCTTGTTTCCTGTCATGGGGCAGCCTTGATTCTAAAGACACAGTTCCTCCTAGCATCTCTAAGACTGAATATACGTTTTCCCCACATGCTTTTAGGACCCCTCTTCCCTGTGATCTATCTTCTGTCCACACAGCCTTTCTCTAAACTGAGTTTAACAATAGCATCAGGGCCGGGTGCAGTGGCTCACACCTGTAATCCCAGCACTTTGGGAGGCCAAGGCAGGTGGATCACTTGAGCTCAGGAGTTTGAGACCATCCTGGGCAACATGGTGAAACCCCGTCTCTACTAAAAATACAAAAATTAGCTGGGCGTGGTGGCGTGTGCCTGTAGTCCCAGCTACTCAGGAGGCTGAGGCAGGAGAATCGCTTGAACCCGGGAGGCCAAGGTTGCAGTGAGCCGAGATTGCACCCGCCACTGCACTGCAGCCTAGCGACAGAACAAGACTCCATCTCAAATTTTTTTTTTACTCCACTTTCCCCACCAGCTATTGCCCCATTCCTCTGCTCACCTTTGCAGCAAAATTCCTTGAAATAACTCTCTCTCCTAAGTGCGTCCAATTTCTTTTCTCCTGTTCTCTCTTTAAATCCCTCTAGCCAATCTTTTACTCCCACACTCCACTGAACTATTCTTGTCAAGGTCATCAATATCCTTGGTGTTGCTGGACCCTAATGGTATTATTCTCAGTCCTTCTCTTATTTAACCTTTTGGTAGCTTTTTTTTTTTTTTTTTTTTTTTTTTTTTTGAGACGGAGTCTCGCTCTGTCGCCGGGGCTGGAGCGCAGTGGCCGGATCTCAGCTCACTGCAAGCTCCGCCTCCCGGGTTTATGCCATTCTCCTGCCTCAGCCTCCTGTGTAGCTGGGACTACAGGCGCCCGCCACCTCGCCCGGCTAGTTTTTTTTGTATTTTTTTAGTAGAGACGGGGTTTCACCTTGTTCGCCAGGATGGTCTCGATCTCCTGACCTCGTGATCCGCCCGTCTCGGCCTCCCAAAGTGCTGGGATTACAGGCTTGAGCCACCGCGCCCGGCCACCTTTTGGTAGCATTTGACCTGGTTGATCACTCTTTCCTCCTGGATACACTTTCTTCATTTGCATTGGAGAGAACATACTCTCCTGATATTCCTTCTACCTCACTGGTTCATCCTCTTCTCTCCAATAATTCTTTTTTTTTTTTTTTTTTGAGACGGAGTCTCGCTCTGTCGCCCAGGCTGGAGTGCAGTGGCCGGATCTCAGCTCACTGCAAGCTCCGCCTCCCGGGTTTACGCCATTCTCCTGCCTCAGCCTCCCGAGTAGCTGGGACTACAGGCACCCGCCACCTCGCCTGGCTAGTTTTTTGTATTTTTTGGTAGAGACGGGGGTTTCACCGTGTTAGCCAGGATGGTCTCGATCTCCTGACCTCGTGATCCACCCGTCTCGGCCTCCCAAAGTGCTGGGATTACAGGCTTGAGCCACCGCGCCCGGCTTTTTTTTCTTTTTTGAGACAGAGTCTTGCTCTGTCGCCCAAGCTGGAGTACAGTGGTGTGATCTCGGCTCACTGCAAGCTCTGCGGCCCGGGTTCATGCCATTCTCCTGCCTCAGCCTCCCGAGTAGCTGGGATTATAGGTGCCTGCCACCATGCCCGGCTAATTTTTTGTACTTTTAGTAGAGACGGGGTTTTGCCATGTTAACCAGGCTGGTCTCGATCTCCTGACCTCGTGATCCGCCCACCTCAACCTCCCAAAGTGCTGGGATTACAGGCGTGAGCCACGGTGCCCAGCAAGCCTCCTATAATTCTTAACATTAGAGTAACCACAGTAGAGTTGTCCTCTTGTCTTTTGTATCCACAGGCACTCCTTTGATGATCTCATCCAGCCGAATGACTTCAAATACCACTCATTCTAGTAATGCCCAATTTTTAAAATCTCCAGCCCTTTTTAAAAAAAACTCCTAACTCATATATCTATTTCTCCTTGACATCTCCCCTCAGAAGTCTAATGGATGCCACCAACCCAAAATGTCCAAAATTGAATTTCTGAACCAGGTGTGGTGGCTTATGCTTGTAATCCCAGCACTTTGGGAGGCTGAGGTAGCAGGATCGC